CCCAATTTGGTATCATCAGCAAATTTAATGAGCAGCCCTTCTACCCCTTCATCTAGATCACTGATAAAAATATTGAATAGTACCAGGCCCAAAACCGAGTCACTGAGCTACAGGAGTAAAAAGAGGTGAATGAATAAGAAAGGAAACAGGGGCAAAGTCAGTGGGTTGAGACCGATTTAATTTTATTTGCATCTGCCACAAACTCGACTTCTCCACTTCGTGACTACAAAGAACTTGTGTGTTTATCAAATTAAGGCACGGCAGCCCTGTTCCAACCCAGCTCCCTGCTTCCCCGGCAGCTCTCCTTCCAGAAATCGATGCCACAGAAAAGAAAGGGGTAATGTTAGGCCTGAGACATGCAAGAAACAAAGGAGGTATTCCAAATGTAAAAGGAGTTGGTCCCATATAAACTATAAGGGGATGCAACTTTTTGTGAACAGAGAGCCCCTGCTCTGCTTTTCCAAATGCATGGTGCTATCTGGTGTGCTGAGCCTCATTTTCTGAATGCCAACAGCGGGTGTTTGTGATGGACATGTGTGGACTCTTCGGCTGGGGCATGGAGGATAGCATTAGAGCAGTGGAAGCATCGCGCGGATGGCTGGCAGGGCATCGAAGGAAATTCATGGGCTGTGGCCCCCTTTTCCTAGAAATTGCCACTGGTCTCCAGAGGCTGATCTGTTGCTGGGGTCATCAGATCATGAGGGTTTCCCTCACAGAAACAGCCAAATGTGAACATTTCTGATTTCGCTAAGGAGGGTGCAGGAATCTTGATACCCGTATTACGCAGACTGGGCATCAGAGAAGAGGGGCCCATTGGCCAGGCAGTGTTAACATTTGAGTCCCTCTTCAGCTGTAGCCCCGACCCTGAGGAGGATTTTGGAGGGTGCTTTCAGCTCACCCAAATGTGTGCTAGCATCTTTCACCTTCCGCAGGCAAATCTCTGGTTCCCAGAAAGAACAACAGGGAATGAGGAAGACACACCTGGAGCACGGGGGGGGGCATGTCTGAGGGACACTGAATGCTCCGAGAGAGGTCACATCTTAAGACGGGGATTTCACCTTTATTAGGTACCCAAGAACTCACGAAGCCGCCATCTATGGACTCAGCAGGATCAGTTCACCACCCAAACAGTCACCTGAGGTCCTACGGCCAGAGTGTGGTGTGTGAAAGGTGGGAAGATGCGTGGCAGCTGCCCCTACCCCTGACCGGCCCTGTCCGCACCCCAATACAGTGCAAGCTTCCAGGGTCCGTGGACTCCTCTTTTCCCAGCTGGAGGTGGCACACAAATAGGCCACGGACTTGCTTGTCCTGCCTGATTCAGACCATTCCTCCAGCTAGACCGTGACTGACAACGGTTCCCTGAAATCTCAGAAAGCCAGAAAGATCCTCCCAGTCCTGATACGTGAGAGCCTTTTACCTGGAGACACAGCCTGGGCACTTCGACAGGCAAAACAGCCACTGCCGCTAAAGTCTGGTGAGGGACGCTGTGCGAACAACGATCCAAGGATCAATTTGAGTCAGGAGTCAGCCTGGACCGTTTAATGTCATGATGCAATAAGCAGCACTTTAGGGTGGATCCTGCCAACTTTTTCAAGACCCCTCCTTATTACAACTGCCCAGGGCTATTTTTGGGCAGGAACGCACAGGAACGGAGTTCCGGCTGGCTCCTGAGTTGGCCACACCCAGCAGGAACTCATTAGCATAATAGGCCACACCCAACAGCAGAAACTCATTGGAATTGGCTACATTAGGGGTGTGTGGCCTAACATGCAAAGGAGTTCCTGCTACAAGAAAAGCCCTGGCAACAAACAGGGTAAGCAGAATAAGAAGCAAAAGGTGGGTGTGGCTGGATAACCACACTTCTGGTAACATGGGGGTGTGGCCTAATGTGCTAATGAGCTGTGTCATCAGGGGTGCTAATGAGTTCCTGCTGGGCTTTTTCTACAAAAAGAGCCCTGCAACTGCCATACCACAGGGACTTCTGTCCGTCCAGGTCTCATGATCCCCAGGACAGCTTTTTCATGCTTGAAGGGGCACAGGGACTTCTGTCCGTCCAGGTCTCATATAAGCTGAAGGTATAAATAAATGATCCCCAGGACAGCTTTTTCGTGCTTGAAGGGAAAACGCTGGTTTTCACCATGGAAGAGCTGGTTGGATCCCACTCTTTGACCATACGCAGAGTGCTTTCCCTTCCTTCAGCAAACCAAGGTGATCAACCTTAAGCACTTTGGAATGACAGGCAGGACCCAAGGGTATGACGTCAGGGCAAACTTAAATACACACACACACATACACACACGATAGCACCTCTTTCTTTTCAGAAATTCAACACTGGGTGCCTACAATTTCCCACACGGAGGGCAAAGGTAGTGAGGCTTATTCTAAAAACAAGATGTAACTCTAGCAAAAAGCAGAGATGGCCTTTGGCTCCCCAACTCAGTTTGGAATGAGTTCTGATAACGCAAAATTATTTTCCCACTGGGAAAGAAACTGTCTCTTAGCCCATTCTAAACAGTCTATAGCAATCCCAAGGATGTCGCAAGAAACTAGATGGGAGCCAGTGTTCCCTCTAAGCTGAGTTAGTGTGAGCTAGCTCACAGTCCTTTAGCCTCCGGCTCACAGATTTCTGTCTCAGCTCGGGAAGGAGGTCTCCAGAGCAAACTAATTGATGCAGCAGCCAAATCGCTCGCTCACAACTTTAATGCCAGTTGCTCACAAAGTAGAATTGTTGCTCACAAGAACCCACAGCTTAGAGGGAGCATTGGATGGGACTTTCCAGCCCCTACTGGGAGCTCCCCTTTTCCTTTCCCAGAACTTAACCAGTGGAAGTGATGCTGTAGTCAAGGGAAGTCTTGCTGCTGGGAACTGCGTTAGACAAAATCAAAACAGGACCCACGGTAAGTAGGAAATACCAAAAGTCAGCAAATACCGTGCTACAGACGGTTACAAAGTATCTCAAGTAATTTATTTTTTCCTTCGTTTTTATATATTATTTTTTCTATATTTCTTTGGAGGAAGACTGAGCACTTATTCAAAATAGACTTAAAGGAGCCCTCTCTCTTAAAACGTTTGTACAATTAAGGAGGACTGATATTCATACAGGGGCTGTGCAATATCTTTTGTGATACATAAAGAGACGATACTTAGATGTTTGAATATACGATTCTTTCTATGTATTAATGTTTATACGATAATTAATATAATTGTGAATAATTTGTAAGAAATATAGAAAAAATAATATATAACCCCCCCCCAAAAAAATTACTTGAGATACTTTGTAATTGTCTGTAGCACGGTATTTGCTGACTTTTGGGAACTGCATTAGAGCTTATACGTAACTATGCCAACCTCCAAGAAGGAAGGATCCATGAGAGATGTAGTTCTTATGAACTCTGTTTCAGAGGGTTGACATATTGTTCTGCAGTAGAAAAACTAGACTCGAATCCAGGAGCACGTTTGAGACCAACAAGCTTCTTGAGGTACAAGCTTTGGAGAGTCAACAGAAGTATAGTGTCCAGATTATGCGAAGTGATGGTATCGCTTTACTCTGCTCTGGTTTACCTCACCTAAAATATTGTGTTCAGTTTAGGGCACCACAATTTAAGAAGGATACAGACAAGGTGGAACATGTCCAGAGGAGGGCAGCAAAGATGGTGAGGGGTCTGGAGACCAAGTCCTGTGAGGAAAGGCTGAAGGAGCTGGGTCTGTTTAGCCTGGAGAGGAGACCACTGAGTGGTGATATGAGAACCAACTTCAAGTACTTGAAGAGCTGTCATCTAGAGGATGGAGCGGAGTTCTTTTCTGTTGCTCCAGAAGGTCGGACCAGAAGAGTTTTCGGCTAAACATTAGGAAGAACTTCCTGACAGACAGAGCAGTTCCTCAGTGGAACAGGCTTCTTCAGGAGGTGGTGGGCACTAGAGGCTAGATGGCCAAACAGGCTTCCTCGGGAGGTGGTGGGCTCTCCTTCTTTGGAGGTTTTCAAACAGGGGCTAGATGGCCATTTGACAGCAATGCTGATTCTGTGAACTGAGGCAGATCACGAGAAGCCCTTTCTTACATACCCAGGGAAATACTGATTGCCACATTGGGGTCAGGAAGCAATTTTTCTCCAGGCCGGTTTGGCCAGGGATCCTGGAGGTTTTTTGTCATCTTCTGGGCATGAACAGTGGTTACTGCAGGTGTGGAGGGGGGAGGTAAGTGAATTTCCTGCCTGGTGCAGCAGGTTGGACTAGATGACCCTGGAGGTCCCTTCCAACTCGATGATTCTATGACTCATCAAATATGGGAGCTCTGACTCTCAAAAACTTATATCCCCAAATAATATTGTAGGCTCTAAGGTGCTCCTGGACTGGAACCTGGCTGTTATGAATCCTGAGATTGATAGCGAGACACCAGAATCCACGAGATCTGCGTTCCCACTGGCATTCAGATCCCTGGTGAGGCTTGCTGGTAAATTGAACTGGAAACAGAAAAGGTTCACAGCGGCAGAGTGGGGGTTGCCGGGGCCATTACGAACCGGACTCAATCTGCAGAGGGCTCAGTTCCTAAGGAGCTTCGGAATTCCCAACGGGAGGAGTGTGTTTTTTCAATCCGCTGTTTCCAAACTTCATCAGTGAAACCTCTTCTGAGTGACATCATGTCCCAGTTCTCCCCCCCAAAAAAACCCCCCACCCTGCTCCCAAATTTTATTCAACTGGAGCATCTTGCGGCCAACGGCGCTTTGCAGCACTACCCCCATGAAAGAGCAAGTCCCGCTTCCTCCTTCTCCAGTGTATGGGTGTGGCCCGCATGCGAGCTGAGGTAAAAGGAGGTTCATAGAAGGGTCATCCCATGGGCATCCACACGCGACGGCGGAGCACGCAGAGCAAAGGCCCTTGAGCAAACTGCTGTTAAAATATCACGCACACGCGACATACAAAACATACAAGCCAGCAACAACACATATTCTGTAAACATGTGAGCAAGGGGGGCCCGTCAAGGCTCCCGCCCCACGCTCCCCCTCACGAGTTCCCACGGTACGTGACGTTGGTGAACGTGGAGGTGGCTCCCCTGTATAATGGGTTGTTGGCCTGGAATAGAGAGAAAAATATTAAAGATAGGATACATGAGTAGTGATGAACGAGGGGTGCAAACTCCTGACTGGGGAATTCCCGGAAGTTTGGGGGTGGAGCCTTGGGAGGGCGGAGTTTGGGAAGGCGGGAGAAACTTCGCAGGCCCTCCCTTGTCCGCCCTGTCCCGCCGCCCTGATATTTCTCACCGTGTCCCACTTTGCTCTTGCTCTCTCTTCTTCAAACTTGGCAAATTCTCTCCGGTCGTGAATCGTGATGAGTAGCTTCCAGATGAGCAGGGCGGCCAAGCCGATGAGCAAGATGGCTCCCGTCACCGAAAGGAGGACGACCAGGACGTCGGGCCCTTTGGGACAGTCTGGAAGGGAGAGGCGAGCCATTACACAGAGCCGTGTGTCTCCCCCCACCACCCGGGGTGGCTCCAGGTTCCGGCATGCCCCCCCTCCCCCCGCTGCTCCCCCCCAGGCCTCCCCCACCCCCACCCTCTTCCCCCACCTGCCTGCCAAACTTCCTACTGTCTGCAGCACCCCTTTCGCAACAAAGCTGGGTGGCTCATGTGGCAGGCAGGAGAGGAAGCACACGGGCAGCGTTTGGCTGTCAGCGGGCCCTGCTAGAAGCCCTGCGCTCTGACGGCTGCCCAGCTTCAGATTATGCTGCCCCCACCACTCTAGGTATTATGAACTGAGATCGAGGCAGCTTCTTGAACAAGTGATTTCATTTTATTCAGCTCATAACAACACAAGACAGACAGAGACTTCAAGACGCAAAGACATAGAAACCCAAGCTGACTTATATATATGATTTGAATGGTCCAAACCACGCCCCCAACACAGCTAACAACCAATCACAATGTGTACTTAACAGCCAATGGGTGTTGTTCCCTCCAGAACCATTCCTATGCTCTGATTGGCCCACTGTGCAAAGCAGCCAATCAGAACGTGCACTTTAGAATACCAGGGCTCCTATAGAGCCTTGTCAGAAGCTCAGGCATACTTGTAGCATTACAGTGTAAGAATAAGCAAGTGCCTTTCAATACAGAACCTTTGCTGGCTTGGGACCAATGGGATTCGTTCCCGCCAGAATCAGAGTCCCCCTGGATTGGTCTGTCTCGCAACAGGGACCAATCTGACAGCCGGGTTTACAATACTGTGTGTCTATGGAGCTTGTGCTTGAAGCTCCAGCTAATGTATCGAACCATGCCGTAAGTAACCTTCTGCCTATACATAACACTAGGGTTGCCAGCTGCACCCCTGTGAGGGAGGCGGGGCTGAGAGAGCTCTGACAGAAACGGCTCTTTTTCAAGAACAGCTCTTATCAGAGCTACGGCTTGCCATAGGTCATCCAGCCAGGTGCAAGTGGAGGAGTGGGGAATCAAACCTGGTTCTCCCAGATTAGAGTCCAGGCACTTAACCACTGCACCAAACTGGCACCTAACACCAGAAAGACTTTGCTGGACTAGACCGAGCAACCCATCCTCTTGTTCACAGAAGGAGCCCTCTATCAGCCTCTCAGGCAGGGAGGAAGGAAATGGGAGTGGTCAGTGAATCCATGAATGCGGCCCCAGCGCATAAGGGGCCCTGAGGAAAAAGAGGCCAATAGCAGAGGGAGCCAGGCCCGTCGCTACAGTGGGGCACTTCGGGGCCTGGCCCCCTGACTTCCTGCCAAGCCCCCCCTCCATCCAGCCCTCAGCCCCCTGGCTCTCTGGGCCGCCCCGAGGACTCCCCACCACCTCCCCTTCCCCAAGCGCGGCTTGCTTCTCCGCATAGGCAGGCAGAGTGGCAACTGCAAAAGTGAGTTTAAAAAAAAATTATTTTAAATTGTATTTCTAATTTTGTGACATCAGTGCCCCCTGACTTATTTAAATTACAAAATCCTGGCTACAGGGGCCTGGGGGCATTGTTCTTGCTTTACAGAACAGGCCCCCAGGGATAGAGAGACAGATGGCCTTTGGGCCCCAGCTCTATGATTCAGGTTCACCCGTGCAAGTTCAACACCCTTTCATAAGTGCAAATGAGACGGTGTGGAACCAGGGGTCATTTCCTGCAGGAGTGCACAGGAGCAGCGCTCCGGCAGTAAAGAGCCCAGGGGGCGGGCACATGCAACAAGCCCCACCCCCTGCTCCCAGCAGCCCTCAGTAAG